CAACTTTTTCTGTGAAGGGCCAGAGAGAAAATTCAGACTTTGCAGGCCATACAGTCCCTGTGGCAACTGCTAAGTTCTGCTGTTGTAGCATAAAAGCAGCCTTGACGTATAACAAGCGATTGTGACTGTGTTCCAACAAGAGTTTATTAACAGAAGCAGGAGGCAGCTGGCTTTGGCCCTTAAGCCGTCATTTGCCCAACCCTGCACTAAGCCATAAACCACCCAAGACTCTCCTGCTCCCACCCTGATCTGAAGGATTAGATCCTACTCTTTGTCAAGAGCTTCCCTGACCATCCCTCTCAGGGACCTCTCCTTCCTCTGGACTGCTTTAATACTTTCTGTCTAAAATTTAGCAGCTGGAACATCCTATCTGACTCCCCATCCTGGGGAAGGAGGGCAGAGAGGAGGGTACCAGCCTAGCAAGGGTGTTGGTCAAGTGGTGGAGCCAGGAGCAGTTCCAGTAGTAAGGGTGTGGTAGGGAAAGCTGAGAGCCACCAACAGGAGGAGCCGGTACAAGTTCAAAGGGCCAGAGCAGAGCCAAGGTCAGATCTCAGGGCCAAGAGTTTAGAGAGGCAGAGATAAGATCTGAGTAAATGCTTTGCAGGGAAGGAAGTGGGGCAGCCCTGGGGTGTTTACTGCTCTCCTTTATGGGCTCACTGGTGCTTGGAGAGGGGCCGAGTGTGGACTTAATGGGCCAGAGGCAAGACTCCATCTCTCCTACTGTCAGTGATTTTTTTTCTTCTCCTATCCCCGGCCAGTACAATGTCCACACCGCTGAAATGAGGGCCAGGGAAACATCCATCACTAGGCTGGAATCAGGGGAGCCCCCACGGGGGTTTCTAATCCAGGATGCAAGGAAGCCATTGACTTTCATATGATCAAGCAGATTCTCGGGTTAGGACACAACTGTCCAGTTCTCCTGACCCTCCTACGTATTAATGCTGCTACCACTTCTTAACCTGTCTCTACACGGGAGGCACCATCCCAGGTGTTTTCACATTCTGGATCACATTTGATGCAGCATTTCTGTCAGGCAGGTATGATGATTCCCATTTTACAGATAAGAAAACTGAGGTCCAGAGAAAGTAAATGGTTACACCACTGGGGAAAGGACACATTGGAAATTGGACACGAAGCGGTTCACCTGCACAGCTTATATCCTGGATCGCTGGGCCACCTGCCCTTCTCTTTGTTTGGATTTACGCCCTGGGTAACTAACTGGTCAGGACCTTTCCTGTTTAACACTCTAAAGACTTGCTTGTTTCTCTCTTTTAGGCTCATAATGGAAGGTTTCATCATCATTTCCCATAATTTGTTCTCTTTCCCCTAACTAGCTTATTCCTGTCCTGACCTAGTGAAGCGTGAAAAAGAGTTCAGGGAGCCAGAACTGAGAGCTAAAAATTCAGGCTTGACATTTGTGCAAATAGAGATCAGATCTTAATTCTCTGTGGGGGCGTCCATCCACCTCAGGTTACCCAGGATAAATGCTTAGGGTCAACTAAGCCAACTTTTCAGTGCTCTTCATTAACACTTTGGGGACTTCTTCCTGCCCTCCAATAGCCAGT